CGTCGTCATAGTCGTACTCGTAGTCGTAGTCGTAGTATTAATAATAGTAGTAGGAGCCGTAATAGTAGTAGTAGTAGTACTACTACTACTACTACTACTACTACTACTACTACTACTACTAGGACTAGTAGTAGTAGTGGTAGTAGACGTAGTAGAAGTAGTAGACGTAGTAGTAGTAGTCGTCGTAGTAGTAGTCGTCATACGAATAGTACAAGTAAGTTGTAGTACTAGTAGTGGTAGTAGTAAGAGTGGCCGTAGTCGTAGTAGTCGTAGTAGTGATAGTAATGGTAGTAATAGTAATAGTAGTAATAATAGTGGTAATAGTAGTAGTAGTTGTTGTTGTAGTAGTGATAAGAGTAGCAGTAGCAATCCTCGTAGTAGTAGTAGTAGAAGCAGAAGTAGCAACAATCGTAAAAGTAGTTGTAGCAGTAGTTGCTGTAGTACGTGCGAATAGTAGCAACAACAGTAGCAGTCAGAATCGTAACTAGTAGTAGTCGTAGCAACACTAGTCGTAGGAGCGGGAGGAGTAGTAGTAGCAGTCGTGGTAGCAGTAGTCGTAGTAGTCGTGATAGTAGTAGTAGTAGTAAAAGTATGAGTCGCAGCAGGAGTTGTAGTAGTAGTAGTAGTCGTCGTCGTCGTCGTAGTAGTAGTAGCCGTCGTAGTAGTAGGAGTCGTCGTAGTAGTAGTAGTAGTGATAGTAGTAGTAGTAGTAGCAGTAGCAGTAATAATAATAGTAGTAGTAGTAATCGTAGTGGTTATCGTTGTAGTAGTAGTAGTAGCAGTAGTAGTAGTAGTAGCAGTAGTAGTAGCAAGAGTAGTAGTAGTAGTAGTAGTCGTCGTAGTCGTAGTCGTAGTCGTAGTCGTAGTCGTAGTCGTAGTCGTAGTAGTAGTAGTAGTAGTAGTAGTAGCAGTAGTAGTAGTAGCAGTAGTAGTAGTAATCGTAGTGTAGTAGTAGTAGTAGTAGCAGCAGTAGTAGAAGTAGTAGTAGTAGTAGCAGTCGTCGTCGTACTAGTAGTCGTGCTAGTAGTCGTAGAAGTAGTAGTAGTAGTAGTAGTAGTAGTAGTAGTAGTAGTAGTAGCAGTAGTAGTAGTAGTAGTAGTAGTAGTAGTAGTCGTAGTAGTAGTAGTAGTAGTAGTAGTAGTAGTAGTAGTAGTAGTAGTAGTAGTAGTAGTAGTAGTAGTAGTAGTAGTAGTAGTAGTAGTAGTAGTAGTAGTAGTAGTAGTAGTAGTAGTAGTAGTAGTAGTAGTAGTAGTAGTAGTGGTAGTGGTAGTGATTACGAGCAGTACAAATGACTCTGCGACGTATCCAACCCATTTGCATCGAGTGGGAAGAAACAAACGTAGGGCGATGTTGGCAGGAACAACGTCAGTGCAGGCGCGGCGATGGGTTGTGCAAGCTACATGGGGTGCGCGCACGTTGCACGACTCAAAGGACAGCGATCGACAAGACGAGGATTGGGGCCCCAGGCTTGAACAAGAACGGGAGCGGGAACGACGGGCAGGAGAATGACGGAATTGTGGGGGCGGGGAGCCACCGCGGCAGCAGCAGCATGGAGAAGGTGACAGGGGGAATAGGGTGACGATGAAAGTGGCGGGAGGAAACAGAAGAGTACCGCTGTTTCCAGAAGCTGGCTAAACATGCAGCGCTGGCCTATGCTGGCCCCCCTAACAGCCCTCGAAGGTGGCGACAGTTTGGCAGATCGCAGCCCCCCAGGGACGCGAGGTCTCATCTGAACCTGCGGCGTACCCACACTGCTGGCCCCCCCCAGCAGCCCTCGAAAGTGGCGACAGTTGGGCAGATCACTGCCCCCCCCCCCGGATGGCGAGGTGTAATCTGAATATGCGGCGAGTACCCACTACGCTGCCCCCCCCAGCAGCCCTCGAACGTGGCTACAGTTTCGCAGATCGCAGACCCCCAGGGATGGCGAGGTCAAATCTGAATCTGCAGCGAGTACCCACCATGCTGGCCCCACAACAGCCCTCGAAAGTGGCGACGGCTTCACAGATGGCAGCCCCCCAGGACGGCGAGGTCTAATATGAGCCTGCGGCGAGTACCCACTATGATGGTCCCCCCAGCAGCCCTCGAAAGTGGCGACGGTTTTGCAGATCGCAGCGCCCCAGGGGTCTGCGGCGAGTGCCCACTACGCTGGCCCCCCAGCAGCCCTCGAAAGCGGCGACCGTTTCACAGATCGCAGCCCCCCCAGGGATGGCGATGTCTAATCTGAATTTGCGGCGGGTACCCACCATGCTGGTCTCCCTAGCAGCCCTCGAAAGTGGCGGCCGTTTCAATCGCAGCCCCCCAGGGATGGCGATGTCTAATCTGAATTTGCGGCGAGTGCCAATTATGCTGCCCCGCCAGCAGCCCTCGCAAGTGGCGACCGTTTCACAGATCGCCGCCCAGGGATGACGAGATCTAATCTGAGTCTGCGGCGAGTACCCACTGTGTTGCCCCCCCAGCAGCCCTCGAAAGTGGCGACAGTTTGGCAGATCGCAGCCCCCCAGGGATGGCGAGGTCTCATCTGAACCTGCGGCGAGTATCCACTATCACTATGTTGCCCCCCCCCCAGCAGCCCTCGAAAGTGGCGACAGTTTGGCAGATCGCTGCCCCCCCCCCCCAGGATGGCGAGGTCTAATCTGAATTTGCGGCGGGTACCCACCATGCTGGCCCCACAGCGGCCCCTAGATGGCGAGGTCTCATCTGAGTCTGCGGCGGGTACCCACCATGCTGGTCCCCCAAGCAGCCCTCGAAAGTGGCGACAATTTGGCAGATCGCAGCCCCTGCCCCCCCCCCCCCCCCCGGATGGCGACGTCTAATCTGAATCTGCGGCGAGTACTCACTATACTGGCCCCCCAGCAGCCGTCGAAAGTGGCGACAGTTTCGCAGATCGCAGCCCCCCCGCGATGGCGAGGTCAAATCTGAGTCTGCGGCGGGTGCCCACCATGCTGGTCTCCCTAGCAGCCCTCGAAAGTGGCGGCCGTTTGGCAGATCGCTGCCCCCAAGAGATGGCGAGGTCTCATCTGAATCCGCGGCGGGTGCCCACTATGCTTACCCCCCCAGCAGCCCTCGAAAGTGGCGACAGTTTCACAGATCGCAGCCCCCCACGGACGGCGAGGTCTAATCTGAATCCGCGGCGGGTGCTTACCATGCTGGCTCCCCCAGCAGCCCTCAAAAGTGGCGACCTCCTCCTCCTCCTCCTCCCCTCCTCCTCCTCCTCCTCCTCCTCCTCCTCCTCCTCCTCCTCCTCCTCCTCCTCCTCCTCCTCCTCCTCCTCCTCCCTCCTCCTCCTCCTCCTCCTCCTCCTCCTCCTCCTCCTCCTCCCTGTCCTCCTCGACCCTGTCCTTCTCCTCCTCCTCCTCCTCCTCCTCCTCCTCCTCCTCCTCCTCCTCCTCCTCCTCCTCCTCCTCCTCCTCCGCCCCAGGGTGCCAGGATAACGCTTCCGGGTGCTGGATGCGTCATCGTCACACGGGGGGGGGAGGGCCTCAGCTGCTCCCGCCGGTCATTACCTCCATCTCTTTGATCGGTCTCCTCCAGGAGTGCCCCCAGCGCTCCCGGGAGTGCCCCGAGAGGGTCCCGAGAGGCGCCAAGGAGTGGCAGCGAGAGGCCCAGAAAGAGATCCCCGGAGAGGCCTCCGAGATCCCAAGACAATTCCGAAACCCGAGGCGCCCAAGACGCTCTCAGAGGCCTCCAGGACCGCCGCGAGGCCTCCAAGACGCTCCGAAAGGACCCCAAGAGGACTCCAAGAGGCTCCACCGGCCCTCTGGCCAAACCAAGCCAAAAGACCATGGTGAGTGGATTCTGGACCGTTCTGGACCGTCGCCAGGCCTGGGAGACGCCTCCCCCAGCCCCCCCCCCTTGTGGAGATTCTGGTGAGAGGAAGCCTTTGAACAAGATTCAAGCCCTCTAGAGAAACGCTATTAGGGAAAAAATGAAGCTTCAAAAATTAAGGAATTCAGAGTGACATGTGTTTCAATATGCTTGGCCGACTGGGAATATCTTGGAAACCGCTATGGTGCCTCTTGGGCCTGTCGGAAGCGTCTTGGGAGCAATTTCCGAGCAATTATGATGCCTGGAAAACCATAGTGAGGGAAAGTTGCGCGTGGGTCAAAATCATTGATTTTCTTTAGGTGTTCGAAGGATGCTTGCTGATGAAAGGCTCTTGGGAGCCTCTTGGTGGCCTCTTGGAGGTATCTTGGGCCGCTTCGGGGCGTCCTGTGGCCTCTTCGCACCTGTAGGGGCTTCGCCGGGATCTTTGGAGCGCATGCTTGGGTACAACCTACTGAGCTAACGCAGGCGGACGTCACCTAAAATGCAGCCTGGCAGGCTGGCGCGCATGGGCGCGAGGGGCATGCCGATTGAAACACTGAAGCATATCCGCAGCTGAACTATTCAAAATGGCGGCAACGAACATTTGGGAGGAAGCAGGAGGAGGGAGATAAAATGATAGGGATGAGGAAGACGCACCATTTATCGAATAGAGAATGCTGACTGCCAGCAAACGAAACTCAGCTGCAAACCGGCCCAGCCACCTTACACGCCTGCGCGCAGATGACACACGGAAGAAAGGGTGGCACAATATACAGATGAGAGGAGGATGGGGAGAAAGAACGCTCAGCTCCTGAACGCGGACGAACCAGTGATCTGACCGCAAGTGGAAGTTGCAACCATTCGCGGCAGCCTCACGAGCATGGGCGCGAGGGGCATACCAATTGACGCTGAATTAAAACAAAGTGAAGCACGACTTCTGCTAAAATGCATGACATCAGTTGCGACGCCATCCTCGCGGAAAACAAGCGTTCTAGCAGTGAGTGCAAGAACAGGTCGATTGCGAAGCGGTATCCGCTTAGCACCTGCACACGATGGCGGGCATCTTGGAAGCGTTTTGGAGGCCTCTTGCAGGCGGCATGGGGCCTCTTGGGGTCTCCGGGAAGCGACTTCCCTCGTGGACCGCAGCACAGACAGGCTGGGGGATAAGACCCACGCAGCAGCCTCAAAGCGGTGGCTTAAGTGACAACCAGATGCCACTGAAAATTGTGCCATCTGGCGCGAACTACGCAAAGAAGTAGCAGAGGCCCGCACAACAGACAGCCACTGACAGCAGTACGACTGGCGCGCGCCTGGCTCGAAAAATTCAGAACCTGCTGCTTCTTCTTCCGCTTCCGCCCCCCCCCGCTCGCCCGCGACGCGACGAACGACCCCTCCCGATCCCTCGAGAAAGAGACCGCTCTACCTGGAGCTCTGCCATGTGGATAGGGCAGGTCTCAATCGGCGGCGAGCGAGGGGGGGCAAGTGAGAAGGAGAAGGCCTTCTCAGAAGGCTCGGAAGCCCCCCGGCCGTCTGAGAAGTCTCCTGAGCCTCCCCCGAAGACACAGAAGACACTTCTCGGAAGGCACGAGGGCTTCTGAGCAATGCCGCCCTCTCAGCAGGCGCTCTCTAGGGGAGCGAAGAATGCTATAAGCATGAAAACTCGGAGGCCCGCGCGGACTTCTCGGATCGGCGCGGGAGGGGGGCATGGGCGGCGCCGGAGGCGCCGCCAGGGGGGGTTTCCGCGCGGACCTCCGAGTTCTTACGTTTGTGTCATTGTTCGTTCCCTTGTTCTCCTTCTCACTTTCCCCCCTCGCTCGCCGCCGACTCGAGCATGCGAGCGAGCAGAGCTCGCGCTCCGGCTCCTGGAAGAATGTGAAAAAATTGAGGGCGTCACCTGGGCCTGAGCCTCTCACCCAGGGCCATGCAAGCCCGAGGTATCCAAACAAAAAAAACACGCTGCCGATGTGGCGCTCCGAGCCGCCAAAGTCGCCAGCCCAGACCACGATCCCGAGAGAAGCGTGAACTGCCCTGTCTGGCCCATCCCCCCTCCTCTTACCCTTCGTCGTTCTCCTCTTGGCACCTGCACAACATTCTCCTATCCCCCTCCACACCCCTTCATCTCTCCTCATCACTCCGCCCCCTCCGCCCCCTTACCCCGCGCCCCCGTTCCTCACTCTACCTCATCTTCCTCCCACTCACACGTTCCGTCATTTCCATCCCCCGTCCTCCTCCTCACCCTCATCATCGCACCTCTGCGTCTCCCTCTCTCCCTCTCTCTCTCTCTCTCTCTCTCGCTCTCTATGCCTCTCTCTCTCTTTCTCTCTCCTTCGCTCCCTCTCTCCCCCGTTGCCCTCCCCGGTCCCGCCCTTTTTACGGCGCAGCCCCCTCCCCCCCGAACCATTGTCTGTCCACCCTCGACCTCCTCCCCCCCTCTGCACCTCCCCCCTCCCTGCGCCCCCTGCGGGGCGTCCCGCAGGTCCATATGGCCCGTCTCGGCCCGCGGCCGCTGGTGGCACGCGACTCCCCGCGGCCTCCGCCTCCTCGTGGTCTCCGTGCCCCGTGGCCCCCCTGGCGGGGGGCACCCCCCGGGGCACCCGGCGGGGGGGCCTCCCGGGGCACCCCCTGGGAGCAGCGCAGTGCACCCCCAGGGCTTCCAGAGATGCCCTCCCGAGGGCCTCCCAGAGGGCCTCACGTGGGCCTCACAGTTAGCATCCCAGTGACCCCTCCCTCGTGCGTCCCAGCGGCGTTCCGACGGATGGGCCTCCGAGAGGTTCCCAAGGGCCTCCGCGGAGCTCGCGCCAACCCGAAGCCCAGCTTCGGCGGCGAGCGAGGGGGGGAATGACAACGAGAAGGCCTTCTCAGAAGGCGGCGGGACTTCTCAGAAGCCCTCGTGCCTTCTGAGATTGTTTTGCGTCTCTGGGGAAGGCTTAGAAAACTTCTCTGAGTGCCAGGGGACTTCCGAGCCTTCTGAGAAGGCCCGCCCCTTCTCAGTTCCCCCCTCGCTCGCCGCCGGCAAATGGTTATCGCCCGCCTCGCGTGAACGCTCCACGCGAGACGGTCGATAGCCATTCGGTTGTCAAAGGTTGCCGCGAGCGTAGCGGCAACCCGCTCCAGGACGACCCAAGAGACGCCGGGTGCCAGAAGGTAACCGCAGTGATGCTCGCTGGAGCTCTGACAAGCGCGCGGCTCCAGTGAAAAGGTGACCCAGAAATCCTTTCAACGTCTAGTGTTGAGGCACGAACATCGCGGATCGAATGAATACCAAGTACCAGCAACACCGCTCCTGTTGCGAATGTAGAAGCAATGCAACTCATTTCCACGAAAACCGGATGTGTGGCCAATGCAACGCAAAGCATTGCAAGCAAAAGTGAGGAAAGCATGCGCTAGAAAATGCCCTGCTGTATAGATCAAGGCAGAGCACAGCAATGCGGACCAAGAACATACAAATGCACATGCGACGCAAGCAGAGGAGCACAGCAATACAGTGCCATGCGGCTCAAACAACGCAAGGGAGCGAACGAACCTAGCAAGCTCTGGGAACTCAGAGATCTCAGAAGATAAGCGCCCCAAGAAGATCCGAAAAGCGTCTCACGGGGACCTAGGAGAAGCCCTGACTGCACCCGAATTAAATCCCAAGAGTGCCGTGAGAGAAGCTCCAGGGGGGGCTCAACAGATAGCTCAAGGAGACCGCGAAACGGAGAACAGGAGTGCCCTGAGAGTCGTCGCTAGAGCTTCCGAAGATGGCACCAAAGCGCCTCAAGAAAGCCTCCGAATGGCCCCGCAGGTGCCGAAGAGCTCCCGGAAGGGCCCGAAGTGAAGGCCCCAGAAGGCCCTGAGAAGACGTCTGAAGAAGGCCGAAGAGGTTCCTGGAAGAGGCTCAAAAGTTGCGTCAAGATGGTGCCAAGATGTGCTCCAGAAAGGCTTGAAGAGGTACCCAGAAGAGCGTCAAGATGGCCCCAAGAAAATTCCCCGGAGGCCCTCAGAGGACTCGAACGAAGCACCATGTGGTGGAGCAACATGTACGCAATATTGAGTCAAAGCGAGCTCGCAGGGAGGGCGAAGGAGATCCCAAGAGTGGCCCATTAGAGTTCCAAGAGGGCCAAACACAGAACGCATAAGGGGGCACAAGAGAAGCCCCAAGATGGCCCAACGAGGTTCCAAGAGGGGGCGCTGGAAGGCTCCTACGAGGGCCCGAGGGAATTCCAAGAAGACGCAGAAGGGCTGAAAACGGCGCTCCACGAGGGCTCCCGGAGGTGCTTGGGGAAGGCCGCAAGAGGCGGTGCGAGGAGGCAAGGAGAACTCCCAAGCGCGACCTCAACAAAGCCTCCAGAGGCCCCAGGGTCAGTCGTGACTGGCGGACGAAATTCCCACCCACCGACCCTCAGCCGGGGGCTCTTTGTCCAACTGGGGTCTCGGAACTGCCAGTGTACTGTCTTGGGGCGTATCGGAGGTCTGTTGGACGCCTCTGGGACGGTGTTGAGGGCATGTTGGAACCCGTATTCTTCGAGGTTCCCCAAAACCGTTGCTGGCCTCGTATCGGGAACTTTTTCCGCCTCTGCCGTCGTCCTCCTCCTCCTCCTCCTCCTCCTCCTCCTCCTCCTCCTCCTCCTACTCCTCCTCCTCGTTGCCCTCTCGGGGCCCTCTTGGGGGTCTCTTTTGCCGTCCTGAACTCTTTGGGGCCCTCTTGTGCAGTCTTGGGGCGCTCTTCGGGTCCTTTAGTGGCGGCTTGGGGCTATCTGGGAAACTCCTGGGGATGTCTTGGGCCCAAAGAGGCCCAGGAATGCGGGAACGCGACAACCGTTCAAATTCAAACTATTCAACGCCTCCTTGGGCATCATGGGGCCTCTTCGGCGCCTCCTGGGGGCTTCCCAGGAGCCTCCTGGGGCCTCTTTGTGGCTTCTTGGGAGCCTCTTGGGGGGCCTCTTGTGGGCCTCTTGGGGGCAGCTTGGGGCATCTTGGGGGCCAAGGTGGCCCAAGTACGGCCCGCATGACGCCGATGACGGCCCAGGAGGGCCCCATGAGGCCCAGTAGAAGCTCCAAGACGGCTCCCCCCAAAAAAACACGAGACCGCCCCCCTTCCCAGTCACGCTTCCTTGTAAGCACCGCCCCCTGCGAACAGTGCTTGGGCGCGCCGGAAGTGACGTGCTGAGCGGCAGCGTTTTCTGCGGAGTCCACTTCCGGAAGTGACGTGCTGAGCGGCAGCGTTTTCTGCGGAGGCGATAATGCAACGTACCCTATGTATCCAAATGTTGCATAATGGCCACATATTGTATTGCGTTACATCATTATGTCTCCCCCCTAACCCCCCCCAGGGGCTACGCCACATCTGTCGACCCAAAATGGAGACCCCAATTTGGGGCTCAAAAACGTACCAAAACCTATGTAAAATCGATGATTAGGGACTTTGGGCCTCTGGGAGGCCCAATAGGGCGTCAAGACGGCTCCATATGGCTTCAAGACGGGCCAAGACGGCTCCAAGACGGTGCATGCTGCATGATGGCCCCAAAAGGGCCCAAGAAACTCCTAAGACGTCCCAAGAGGGCCCCAAAACAACCCCCAAGCGTGCCTCCAGAGGCCAAAATGATGTATTTCCCTATAGTTTGAACGATTTTCCTTTTCTCGCCTTTCTCGACTCTCAGAACCCCACGGCCGCCCAGGCAGCCGCCAAAATTGCCCCACAAAGGCCCAAGAAGCCCCCAAGAGGGCCCCCAAACGGCAGGAGGGCCCCAAGACGGCCCAAAGAGGCCCCCAAGACGGTCCAAAAAGCCCCTCAGACGGCCCAAGAGGACCCCAAGGGAACCCCAAGGCGGCCGCGAGAGGCCCCCAAGACGGCCTCCGAAGGGGCGGAACGGCGCAAAAGCGCCCCAAGACGGCCCAAGACGGCCCCAAGAGGCCCCGAGAGGCCCCCAAGGGGCTCCAAACAAACCCCAAGAGGCCTCCAAGAAGTCCCCAAGAAGCCACCAAGAGGCCTCAAAGAAGCCCCCACAAGGCCACACAACGACTGGAATGTAATGTTATTTTTCTCCCCCTGGTCGAACTGCGGCGCAGCGCCAGCCAGGTGAAGGTGGTCACGGCGGCGCCCATGATTAGGGCCGGCGCCGGAAGGGAAGATGGGGAGGGAGTATGAAAAGGAGGGGGGGGGGAGAAGCCCCAAAGAAGCCCCCAAGAGGCCCAAAGAAGCTCCCAAGAGGCCTCCAGGAGGCCCCCAGGAGGCTCCCAAGAGGCCCCGCGACGACATGACTGTACGTGCTCCGGACATGCACCCCGCGAAGCGAGAGGAATCCACGTCCGGAGGTGACGTGTTGCCGGAGGCAGGTCCGCGGATGCTGAACTGCAACGCTCTGGCGAACGCCTTGATGCAACGTATCCAATGTGTCCAACGATTGTACAATTACTACCCATGGCATCGCATTGCAATAGTCACGCCCGTCGACCCAGGCACAAAAACCGATGAAGAATCGAGGATGTGGGCCTGTTTGGCCTTCGGCCTTCTCGGGGGTCCAACATCGGAGCTGGATAGAACCCCCTTTAGTAAAACACCCTTTAGTGACATGTACCGGGGGCCGCCGCTCCGAGCGCCGCCTTGCACCCCGTGCTCGTAGCTGAGACACTCGCCCAAGCGATCTCGATTGGGTAATCGCGAATCGGCGTTTGAATCGGATGGGTCCTCGCGACGCCAGCAGTATGCTGCCCAGAGTCTGCTTTCCTAGAAACGAAACGAAGCGCCCATCAGTGGCCACAACTTGGAGATGTGGGATCGCCCATAACGGCCGCCGCGTGCAACAATGCCCCATACCCTCCAGTCGTTAGCTCGCGGCGAGCGCAATCCTCGCGAAACCAGCGATACGCCCTCAACTGTTAAGACGTTGCATACAGGTGTGCGCAACCGCGCTACATGCGAGGAGGACGGCAACGACGACGACGACTCCCACGAAAGCGATAGTAGCGAAAATGACACCGATGGCGCTGTTCGCGCAGCTGGGTGGCTGAAAAGCCACGCGCTGACAGGGGAAATTTCTGTAGGGCCGTCTGGGCCGGTTTTCACGCGGCGCGCACCCCTCCTTCAGTCATCCCTCCCTCCAAGCATCCCTCATTCCATGCATCTCTCCCTCTCAGCACCCCCCATTCGCGCATGCCTCCCTCCATTCATCCGTCCCTCCATTCGCCCATCCCTCCACGCATCCCCCGCTCCCTCCACGCATCCCTCACTCCGCGCATCCCTCCCTCCATGCCCCCTTCCCTCAACGAACCCCTCCCTCAACGCATCCCTCCCTCCACGCACTCCTCCCTCCATGCATCCCTCCCCCATGCCTTCCCCCGCGCCTCCCTTCCTCGAGCCCGCGGTAACTCCCTCCCCCCTTCCCTCCATGCATCCAGGGAGGGAAGAGAACCCTAGGGCGCGGTCGAATGCTTCAGGCCGGCCTCGAGCTGCGGGCTGCGCGACCCCCATCCTCCACGATGGGGTCGTGAGCGTCAGGACGGGGTCGAGAGCTCCACGACGATGACGACGATCGATAGTCGACGACGAGCGACGATCGCCGAACATATGGTGCGCACGCGAAATGGAAGCCATCGCCTCAAGATGCGCCCACGGATTGCCCACGCCGCTTGGTCGCACCGGACAGCTTAGCCAAACTCAGGCCCGCCGACTGGCCACATAGGCGTAGCCAGAGAGGCAGGGGGCGGTGGCGGGTCGCCACAAGCGTCTTCGATGATGCGAAAGCCACGGGCGCTCCGAGGCGAGCAGTGGCGGGGCACTGACACCCCACGGCCGACGGAGGGAGAGAAACAGAACTGATACCTGCTCTCACACGACTGCGACGCAGAATGACGGAACGCATCACGTTGCAGCGCAAAATAAAAGTGATCCCCCTCCCTCCTCCCTCCTCCTACCTCATCCTGCCTCCCTCCTCCCACCACGCGTGCCCCCCTTTGCCTCCTTTTACCTCCTCCTACCTCCTCCTACCTATCCCTCCTCCTCCCTCTTTGCATCCCTCCCTCCCTCCATGCATCCCCCCTCCCACCATGCCTACCTCCATGCATCACTCCCTTCCTCAACGCATCCCTCCCGCACTGGAGGTTTCGAGCGTCGCGGGCAAAGAGGACTAGGAGCACGAGGGTGGAGGGACGAGAAGCACGAGAAAAGGAGGCGTGGAGAGAGGACGAGGAGCACCATATTGCCTGAGACACCATAGCTTGCACCATATGGCCTCGGACAACACATAACGATGGATGAGGGCCAATCCGATCCCATCCGCGAACATAGAATCAAGCAATGGGCCCCGCGGCGTCCTCGACGCATCCCCCACCTCACAAGGCCACCGTCAAGCCGGCGCCGCACGCACAACGGGCAACGCATATTCACGTCGAGGTTCGCGTCGAGGTCGCCGCGGCTGGACGCGGCTCGAGAAACTGGTGCACTTTGGACCCCCAGAAGGGGTCCCAGGACCGCTTTGAACGGATCTGGCGCCTGGTGGTGCCCCATGCATCCCTCCCTCCCTCCACGGGAAGGTCGGGGCATGCGCTGGGAGCTCCGCCAATGCCCAAGCAGAGAGCGGCCACATCCAGAGCACCAGTGCCCCGCGACCCATCGGGCACTGAGCATGAGAGGGACAACGCCGGAAGGCACCGCTACGAGGGCAGGGGTGCCGTGGTGGAAGACGGTCAACAAGAACATGGATCAGGAGGAGGAGGAGGAGGACTGCAACGACGACTACAGGAAGGAACGCGACGAGGGAGGAGCAGGAGGGCGGGGACGGCGCGCGAAGATATAGCGAGGAACGAGTCGGAAAGGAAGGCGGTGAGGGTGCATAATCTCGATGCGATGTCGATCGCAACGCTCTTCCCCGCGGCAGCGGTTGCGGCGCCCCCTGCAACCGTGCAGCTCGCAAGGCCGTGCTTTCAAGACCTCGCCACTGGCTGGGCGCGCGCACCCCGAATATATGCGCCCAGCACCTGCCTGATCACAGGCTGCATGGGGCGCTTGCCACCGCAAGCATAAGGATATGAAATCAGAGGAGCAGCACGCATGGCACTCGAGCACTACAGCGAGTTATTTCCAGGTGTGTCGGTGCCGCATGTGCTTTTTCATGCCGAAGGCGTGGTGGGTGCGACGCATGTGTAATATGCGCGGCATGAGATCCGCATGCGAAAACGACTTACTTACTGAAATGTGTCCTTGACTTGTGAGTATGTGTGACTGCCGCTCCCCTGTACCTAGAGCAGTGAAAGCAAGTGCCCGGCTCCCTCGAATTCAAATGGGCACTCGACCTCATTGACACGGCCCTCCTCCTTCCACGCCTTCAGCACAAGATAGAGCATCGCACCATAGTCATCCAGAGCACTGGCTGGGCCATACGACTTGCTGAGCGCGCCCACCAGATGAGGCGACTTCATCCTCCACCTGTTCTCCTTCAAATCCTTGCTGAACGTGCAACCTGGAGGCAACAGGGCTTGCCCCTCCTCCTTGGAGAGCCCCGTCGCAGGCACTGGCGTAAACTTCCTCTTCCTTCCCCCCGCTGGGCCTGCCGTGGCCGGAGCGGGAGGCGGCGGGAAGGCTGGAATCATCGCTGTTGCTGCGGCCATGTTCTTTTTCTGTTTGACCTCCGCCCTCGCTCTCGCTGCCTTCAGCTCCTCGCACTGCTGCTTAATGTCCCTATCGTCCATCAGTTCCTCCTCCACGTCCTCCTCAAACTCGGGGCCGAGAACCTCGGAGACCTGAGAGCGTAGTCGAGCTGGTAGATCATCAGTCTCGTGTCGGCGCAGCAGAGCCTCCTTCAAGACTCCTTGTGTGGCTTTTTCCTGTAGCACGTGCGCCACCAACGCGTGCAGAAGAGGTACCTCGGCGCGCGGTTTCGGTCTGGTGGCCACGTCTAGGTAGTCGAACAAACGCAACATGTGGGCCACAGTCATACCCTTGAAGCCCCGCCTGGCGGCATACGTCAACAGGTGCCCGGACTCCTTCGCAAACATCGGGCACATGGCCGCAGGCACCCCGCCATCCAAATCGGCAGGCTTCAGCTTCGCAGCGACCGAGCTCGCCTGGCGGGCAATCCGGGAAGGGTTCTTCATATCATGGTTCGCCCGACCGCTGGGATTTCACAGGACATGCGTTTCCCGCCCTTCCCACAAAGTTTGGCGCCGAGCAAACAAACTCAAATCATGCGCACGCGCCGAACTGGAAAGCGACAGACATGCCCTGACAATGTTCCCCCCCTGATGCCAAAACAAACCGATACACGCGATGTCAGCTCCAGTCGGGCTGGCAATTTGCACGTGATCCGAAGGACCTTCCACTTGCTTGGGTCCACGATTCGACCAAACATGCAGGACTCCTTCGCCACTGGGGCGAATTCCAACCACATCGCCTGAGTAATCTTAGTGCGGTAAGCGACAAAACCAAATGGAGTGGATGCAAGTGCCAGCTTTGCCTGGCCACTGCCCTCCTCTATGATCAAAGAACCGGGCTGGACGAGGAGGTTCAGGAAACCTAGGTCGCACCCGCGCCAGTCGCCATCGGTGGACAACATCAGTTGCCAGGCCACGGCGCCAAGCCTGATGGACCTTGGGCCCACATTCGGCCAATCGGGTTCCTTCGAGGTGAAAGCGTCCTCGTCCGCCTGGGACAACGAGAAATCTGCGTCGCAGTCCAACAAGAAGGATCCCGTGGGCACGTTGCCGGCACTGGCCGCGCGCGCAGCGCCAGTTATGGGTACTGGACTGCGCTCGAAGTCCTCCAACAGATGGCTTCCAAGCGATAGAGAGTGGTACAGCGTGCACGGGTCGATCCTCTTGCTGGTGTTTTTTGATGCCACCTCTCGGCCCTTCTTCGCCATGAGCTCGTTCAAGAGAGATGAGAGGAAAGAGGCAAGCATACCGTGCAACCATTCCCTGAGATCGTCGGGTACCCACTTGAAACCAGTCTCGGCCAGGCGAACAAAGGCCTCCCTAACAAACTGCATGCGAGGCGCCAGCAGGCCGTCAACGAACGTCTTGCACTTCTTATCTGCGCAAGCTGCTGTCTCCAGTCGGAGCAGTGCTTCCCATGACTTTTGGAGTGAGGCCAAGCATGCGTTCACCGCATCAGGCTCGCTGTCGACAAGTGGTAAGAAGCACATCGGTGGAGCCCAGAACATTTGCTGGGTCTTCAGAATCTCCCCGCACAGCCTGCATGCATAGACCCACAAACAACTCAAGACAGACATGTCTTCATCTTTCTCACGCTTTGTTGGCGCAACCCTGTCCTTGAACTCGCACGCCTCGTGGAAGGCGGAGCTCACGAATTTGAGCAAAATGTCCCTGGCGACCTCGACCAGCACTCCGCCAGTCAATTCGCGGTGCAGCTCTACCAGGCCCTGCTTCGTTTTGACTTTGACCACTGCCGCGCCGACGAAGTCTTCCAAGGGCTGCGGCAAGTGCGCCATGCCTTGCCAGAGTCTGCATTTCAAGCTGTTCGCCAACGTGAGCCCTGCAAACTGAAGTATTTGGGCGACGTGTTTCCTCTTCTCGGTGACTACCTGTGCAGGCTCCGAGATCGCGACACAACGGCCCTTTGGAGCAGGCCGTTCACACGTATGAGCACAACCTCACAAATGCAATGCGCAAACGCACACAAGACAAAACAATGGAATGCCGAAACTATGTCAAAAAAAATTCGACACCGGGTTTGCCGCCCAGTGCGCCATACAAAAAAACTGAATACTTCCGTTGGCTTCCCCGATTTGGCAACGGCCGCGCCTCGTATTTCTCGGGGGGCCATGGGGGCCCGCCTGGAGCCCTACAGTCATGGATCCTTGCGGGCAGGCAGAGCCTGAAAGCGGGGGCGCCGGGCCAAGGAGTTGCCAGTCAGAGCCCGGACGTGGGAGGCGTGGACCAAAAAGGTTACCAGTCAGACCATTATGGCGGGAAGGATGGCCCGAAGTGTTACCAGCCAGAGCGTTCAGGCGACGAAACTGGGCCACGGGGTTTCCTGTCTGAGCCCTGAGGCGGGAGGCCTGGGCCACAGGGTTACCAGTCAGAGCCCAGGGGCGGGAGGTCGGGGGCAAAAGTTTAACGAGCACAACCTCGAGGTGGGAGGTCTGGACCAAAGGGTTACCAGTCGGGGCCTCCACGTGGCGGGCCAGGACCCAAGGGTTACCAGTCAGAGCCGTGTGAGGGGAGGCTGGTACCAAAGGGTTTCCTGTCAGAGTCTTCTGTGGGCCGACTTGGCGTGCCTCTGAGGGCCCCCCAGTGCCCTTCCCAGGCCGCTTGGGGGCCCTCCCATGCCGCCTGGGCGCACCGAGCCCGCGGCGGAGTCCAAGGTCCCCACCTCCCGTAGGCTTCCCCGGAACATTCCCGGACAGCTTCCTGGAGCCGAGCAGAGCCCCTCAGCTGCACAACACAACCCCGCGGCCTCTCTCCGCAACCCCCTCCGAAACCACCGCTGCCGTTACGCGGCCCCCGCGCCCCCCGCTATGGCGGCCGAGTTTCACGGAGCCAGGGCCGAACTCTCGCGCGCATGCTCTGGGCATGATTGCTATGGGGCAGGAGGGAAAAAGCGAGAGAGGGAGAAAGAGAGAGAGGGAGAGAGAAAAAAGAGAGAGAGAGGGGGAGAGGGGGAGAGCGAAAAGGGCACGCACGGGGAAGGAAATCTGCCCTGTTCCTGCACCCCCCCCCCCGGGCGCGACGCGCGGCTCGCCCCACCCCTCCCCTCGCCCCCCCCCTCTCCTCCCCCTTCCCGTCGCTTCGACTCAACCACACCACGTTTGAGGACCGCATTTCGTGACATTTTCGCTGCGCGCTGCCGCTCCAACGGCACTCGCGCCCGACCTCATCGGTCAAGCGCGATGGACAACGCAGAAGAACCGGAACAAAACAACACATCACACCAGGCCGATGGCCTCACACTGACCGGCCACATGCCCTCCAAAACCGAAACAAATGAGACAGCCGACCGGCGGAAACCGTGCCATCGAACGGCCGGACCGAATGTCGCGGAATTAGTGCGTGGGGGGCCCGTCGACTGCGCGAGGGGCCAAAGGGGGCCGCCACGGAGTCGGCGCCTAACGAGCCGGGCCGACTCCCAGAATGGCCACTCAAGATGTCACGGAAACGGTGCGCCACATCAATGGCGCCTGGTGCATTTCCCAATGGTCCTGGGTGCGAATTCGGGTCGTGCCGAGTGCCGGGTGCACCCCTGGCGGTGCGAATTTCCTGACGGTGCGGGTGCTTGTTCTGGCGGCGCCAGGTGCTGCGTGCATTTTCTTATGGTGTTGGGTGCATTCCTGGCGGTGCTGGGTACTGGGTGCAATTCCTGGGTGGATTCTCGAATCGAATGTAATTCTGACCGCTGGCGATTGCGGGCGCACTTGACACGTGCAGGCACCTTGCGAGCAGCCTCCATGCTGAGCTTTTCGTCCGAAGGCCCATGTTCTGCAGCGTCAGGCTCGCCCCCGTGGTCTGCTGCAAGATCCCCGTCGACCTCCGCCTCGCCTTCGCCAGGCAGGGCCTCATCGCCAGCGTCCTCGAGGAGGGCGCGGTCCCCGAGCAATGGGTTGTTCGCAAAGTTCCACCATTTCCGTTTGAAACCCACGTACATGAGGCCCATCAGGTCGACCCACTTAAACTGCGCTGCCTCCCTGGACCTCTTTCTTCTCCCAACTGAACCAGCGCCCTCTCTTGGCATCGTTGTGGCACCCGATGCTCCGCAGCTCGTCGCAGACGTACCGCCAGGAAGCTTCAAGATGCTCCGCGCTGCCTACATCGACTCGGTTGCGGAGCGCGGGCCGGGACTGCACCAAGTCCTCATACAAGAACTCAAACAACGCATTGTCC